CTGAGGCGGGAGGATCCCTTGGGCCCAGGAGTTTCAGACCATCCTGGGCACCATAGTGAGATCCCCTATCTCAAAAAACAAAAACAAAAAAATCAATTGATCATATATATGGATCTATTTCAGGATTCCATATGTTCCACTGATATATGAATTAATCTTTATACCAATACCATATCATCTATCATCATGTAGCTTTCTAATAAGTCTTGAAATTAGGTAGTGTAAGTGCTCCAGCTTTGTAGTTTTTGAAAGTTGTTTTGGCTATTCTAAGTATTTTTATATCTACATATGAATTTTAGAATCAGCTTCTTAATTTCTACAAAAATAAAAGCCTGCTAGTACTTTGATTAGGATTGTCATGAATCTATACATCAATTTGGCAAAAACTGGCATCTTACCAATACTGAGTCTTCTGATTTATGAGCATGGTGTATATAATATATATTAATATTTAGGCCTTCTTTATTTCTCTCAGGAATGTTTTGTGGTTCTCAGTGTATACATCTTATATATTTTAAAATCAGACTTATCTGTAAGTATTTCATAGTTTTGATACTATTGCAAATGATGCTGATTTTTCACTTCAGTGCCCAATTGTCCTAGTATATAGAAATATAGCTGGGTTTTTTAATTCATATCATGTATCGAGAAATCTTCCTAAACTCACTTATTAGCCCTAGTACCTTTTTGGAGATCCCATAGAATTTTTTACGTAGATGATCATGTCTTTTGCAAATAAAGACAGTTTTACTTCTTCCCATCCAATCTGTATACCTTTTCTTTTTCTTGCCTTATTATACTGGCTAGAATCTTAGTATGTTATTAAATAGAAGTAGAAACAACAGACATCTTTACCTTGTTATTGATCTTAGAAAGTATTTCACCGTTAAGTGTGATGTTGCTGGAGCAGAAGTCTTGTATGTGCGTTTTCAAGATTTTTATGAGTATGGACTTCAGAAAAGTGCCAGTTTACACCATCTCCAGCAATGTATGCACAGGTACCTTTTCCTATACATGTGCCCACATTAGGCATTATCTTAGAATGTCTTTGAATTATCTTAAAATCTGCCATTCTTAATGTTATCTATTTATTTTAAATTTATGTTTCTTTGATTATTAATGGAGGTCAGCATCATCTAATGTTTGTATGCTGATTGTAATTTTTTTTGACATTCTTAAGTATTCTTTTTTTTTTTAATTCAGCATGTTGTGGGGGTACAGATGATTAGGTTACGTATGATGCCCTGATTGTATTTTTTATTAGTTGTCTATGTCCTCTGCTCATTTTTAATGGTATATTCATTTCTTTCTTAATAATTTTATAGTAGCTTTTTAAAGATCTAATATCTTTGACTATATCTGTCATATATGTCTGTAAGTATCTTTCCCAATTTGTCTTTTGTCTTTTACCTTTGTTCATGGGTTTGTTTTTATATATACTATTTTTAAATATACTTTATTTTCTTTTAGAGCAGTCTTATGTTCACAGAAAAATGGAGCATAAAGTACAAAGAGTTTCCTTATATCCCTGCCCCCCCACACACACAGCCCCTCCCACTATCAGCATCCTGCACCAATTGTGCATTTGTTACAATCAATGAATCTAACCTAAACTGACACATCATTATCACCCAAAGTCCATAGTCTACATTAGGGTTCATTCTTGGTGTTTTGCATTCTGTGGGTTTTGAGAAATGTATAATTACATATACTTACCATTATACTATCATACAGAGTAGTTTCACTGCCATAAAAAATCCTCTGTTCTCCGCCCCTTCATCCCTCCTCCTCTCTAACCCCTAGCAACTACTGATCTTTTTATTGCCCCCATAATTTTGCCTTTTCCAGAACGTTATATAGTTGGAATCTCACAGTATGTTGCCCTCACAGATTGGCTTCTTTCACTTAGGAATACATATTTAAGTTTCCTCTGTGTCTTTTCATGGCTTGATAGCTCATTTCTTTTCTGTGCTAAATAATATTCCATTGTCTGGATGCACCACAGTTTATCCATTCACCAGATGAAGGACATATTGGTTGCTCCCAATTTTGGCAATTATGAATAAAGCTGGTATAAACAACCATGTGCAGCTTTTTGTGAGGACAAAAGTTTTCAACTCAGCTCGGGTGGCGGGAACAACAGTAGTGGCCAGGCAGCCCAGCTTGGAGAAGGCTCTCAGGGCAAAGCCGTGGCCCGCAAGCACCCAGCACTCTTCCTCCCTGTTGCTGAGATGTCCAAGAGGAAAGGTCAGCCGGCTGAAGGCGGTGAAGGAAGAGCCCAGAGATCTGCGAGGCTGTCAGCCAAGCCTGCTCCTGCAAAAGTGGAAATGAAGCCCAAAAAGGCAGCAGCAAAGGATAAATCTTCAGACAAAAAAAGTGCAACCAAAAGGGAAAAGGGGAGCAAAGCGAAAACAGGCCGAAGTGGCTAACCAAGAAACTAAAGATTTACCTGCAGAAAATGAAGAAACTAAAACTGAGGCGAGTCCAGCCTCTGATGAAGCAGGAGAGAGAGAAGCCACGTCTGATTAATATCACATACCATGTCTTATCAGTGGTCCCTGCCTCCCTTCTTGTACAATTCAGAGGAATATTTGTATCAACTATTTTGTAAATGCAGGTTTTTTCGTAGCTCTAGAAACATTTTTAAGAAGGAGGGAATCTCACCTCATCCCATTTTTTAAGTGTAAATGTTTTTTTTGAGAGGTGAAATCATTCACTGGTTGTTTATTTTTTGGTACAACCAGAAAATAGTGTGGGATATTGAATTATGGGAGGCTTTGACTGGGTATCAGCTTAACATTCCATAGATGGGGGTCAGTTTTTATATACCATAATACAAAGCACACTAAATGGCAATATGGAGTCCCAGGCCTGCATTTAATATCTTGAACATTTTAAATTACTTCTATTTCCATGTTGTTTTTCAGTAGACTTGTTTCCTAAAGAAAACCACTCCTTGATCATGGCTTTCTCTGTGAGAATTTCATATACTCTGTAACAACTTTGGTCGTGGTAGTCCTGTCTTCCTAATAACTTTGTTAATGTGCTGTGAAAAATTGAAAATGTGCAGTATATATGATAATAAATTGTGACCTGGTGGGACTTATGTAATAGCTTATCAACATTTGAAGATACTGGTACTTGATATCCTCTTAAGGAAAATTTGCCTCCAAATTTTAAGCTGGAAAGTCACTGGAATAATTATTTAAGAAAGAATTAACATAAATGGCTTTTTAGATATCCAGTACGTATGTTAAAAATTGTGTACAAATTGAACTGTCTGTACTGATCCTCAACACAATCAATAAAATTTCAATTACAAAAGAATGTTTTGAAGCACATTAAAAAAAAAGTTTTCAGCTCATGTGGGTAAATACTAAGGAGCTGATTTCTAGATCATATGGTAAGAGTATTTTTATGTTTGTTTTTATGTATTTTTTAAAAACACATTGAAGCTTTTACTTTTGTCATCAAATCTATCAACCTTTTCTTTCATAACTTCTGTCTTTAGTGTTGATTAGAAAGGCTCTTCCCACCCAAAATTGTATAAATATTCACTTATGGATACTTACAAATATATGTATCTTCCTCTAGTAGTTCACTGGTTTCTTATTTTTACATTTCAATCTTTGTTTTATTTTGACGTGAGGCAGATGTCTAACTGCATTTTCCCTTGGCTCTCTTTTCATTTCTGTAGTTACATAAAGCTCCCTCTAAATATGTGATCTATACGAAAAGTCCAAAGGAATTCCCATTTTACAAATAAGGAAGCTAAGGCAGAGAGGTATTTCATTACATTTAAAGTCACACAACCATTAATTTACAGTCAGGATTCAACCCCAGGTCTTTCAATGCCAAATTCTGTTCTCTTTCCATCACAGACTTGTATGGTCCTCAAAGTATGGTCCACACACGCGTAGCATTGGCAATACCTGGAAGCTCGTTGGAAATGCTGAGTCTTGGGCCCCAGTCCATACCTACTAACCAGAATCTGTATTGCTATCAAGTTAGAGAAGTACTGCAGTGCATAATAGTTCCCCCAATTTAGGGTACATCAGAATCACCTGGGGCACCTGTTGGGCTCCATCTCTCTTCAGTATTTTAACTCAATAGGTCTGGACTGAGGACCAAGAATTTGCATTTTAACAAACATTCCAGGTTGTTTTTACGCAGGTGGCCCCATGGATCACACTTGAGACATGCCCTAAAACTGAGTAATATTCTTAAACTATAACCAAAGGTGATGGATGACTATTTTTCCCAATCTCAATTTTGATAAGTTGTCCTTTTAATCTGGAAAAGAGATAGCTAGGAGGTGACAATAACTCTTATATGGCAATATGTGGAAATTTGGTTGTAATGATGAGGATAATGTAGTAATGAGAACGAATCTTCAGTTTACAGAAAATCAAATCAAGAAAACTAAGGAGAAAAGTCCTTTAATTGATCCAGATTGTAGTGGAGGCAATCTATCTACCCAAATAGATTCCAGTCCACTTCCCCTCCTTCAGATTTTGCCAATAATGTCCGTCAGCCTAGGTCTCTTCGCCAGTAAAATGGGGTAATAATAACCTACCAGCGGGAAGAAAGAACCTGCCTGTCAACTTTCTGAATTTTTTCTCCCCGGTATCGGTATCGACGTCCACAGGCCTGAAATGAGTAAACGTTCTAGGAGACTGAGCAGCCTCGTTGGGCCAGCTCAGATTTGCCCGGAAGCGGACGCCACCTGGCCAGAGGTGGGGCCCCGGGCAACCAGAAGGGGGCCCTCCGCGGGACCAGTCCGCTCCACCGGGCGGGGGCAGACACCGTCTCCCTGCTGTTCCTGACGGATTCCCTCGTCAGTAATTCATTAGGAACGTCCTCTCCATTGGCTGACGCCTCCACCCCTCTCTGGCAGAGGTCCAATGAGGAAGGACCTGAGAAAGCTCTTCTGAATAGTGAACGAGCGTCCGTGTCGTAGCGGCCGGCGATTGGCTGTAGCGGCGCCAGGCGGGGCCGGGCTCGGGCGGCGGCGAGCGCGGCCGGGGCGGCTCAGTGTGAGCCAGAGAGAGTTGAACCCAGAGCAGGGTCCCGGCGCGGAGAGTGACGGCGGCACGATGTTCAGCTGGCTGGGGCGGCAGGCGGGCGGGCGCGAGCGCGCGGGCGGCGCGGACGCGGTGCAGACGGTGACGGGGGGCCTGCGCTCGCTCTACCTGCGCAAGGTGCTGCCGCTGGAGGAGGCGTACCGCTTCCACGAGTTCCACTCGCCGGCACTGGAGGACGCCGACTTCGAGAACAAGCCCATGATCCTGTTGGTGGGCCAGTACAGCACCGGCAAAACCACCTTCATCAGGTAACCCGCCTCGCGCTCTCCTCTCAGCTGTGGGGGCCCTCGCCCCTCACCACCTGGGCGGGTCCCCCCTACGTGTGCGCGTGGCATGCTGTCACCAGCCTCCCGCTGCCCTCGGGCCACCTGTGGCGCCTTCTTCCCCGTAGCAGAACCACCTGGCTACACCTTTCTCCTCCAATATCGGCGTGACCTCAGGTAGCCCCTTCGAGCGCAGTGCCTGGGTGCCCGCAGCCCCGCCCCGGGCGCGGCCGCCGGAGTGCGGGCTGGCTCTCCCCACGCGGGCGAGTGTGTCCCCGGAACCCGCCCTCTCCGTACTCCGAGCTCTCCTTGCTGTCGGGAAGGCATTCCTCTGGATGGCCTTATCCTGTCACCCTAGCCTGGGGGCCCAGGGGAGGGAGGGGCAGCGAGGCTACAATAAGCGTCTTGGTGAGGGAGTGATGCCTAGGGCTGAAATGGGGGCAGAGGTGTGGACTATTCGGAATGGGCCATGGAAAGTTAAGCCCCTAGCACAGTGCCCGGCGCACAAACTACTAATTGAACGAATGAATGGCAGCAGTAGAGGGTGTTTGTTACCCATGCCCCCTTCCATGGAGGTCCTTCCATGTCACTCCCCACCACAGTGTTCAGGAGAGGGGACAAAGAGGCCATTTCCATTCAGCTCTTACACAGCCTCGCCTTTACTGGCCACAGGAAGTGAGCTGTGTAGAACCAAGGTAGAGTGTCATGTTACTATTTGTTAGTTTCCATTTCTTAGGTGGCTCACCCTTGACAACTGAAAATATTTTGTCATGTTTACTATGTCTTTGAAAGCACACAATTACTGTGCATGCTCTGTGGTTCAAATCATACAGCTTCCTCTGAAGTGACTTTTGATGGGAAATAACTTACATTGGAACAGACTGCTTTTTTCATCAGCTGTTTTATTTCAAAAGCAACCAGCATACCAAAGCTCACTTTCTTTGGTAAGGAGACTTGTTTTTCTGGTTTAAATCCCATGTTCGTTGATACAGAGTGGCTGATTATTTAAGGTTTTGGTCCAGGATTTTGGAAATTGTAACAATCACTTCATCATTTGATGTTCAACAGGTGCTTAGAATACTGCATCTATATTTGGATACATGCCATTTCTGTTAAGTAGCGACCTCTTTTTCTCCACTCCAGTGACCTAAATAGTTCCTACAAATAGAGTAGTTGCCACTCCAGGAAATATGTTAAATCCGGGCCTGCAGATACACTGTGAATGAATTCAGCAAAGCAAATACAGTGTGTATTGAAATGTAGTTCGAGAGAGTAAATTAACTGAATGTGAAGGAAGACTGAAGAAAATAAATTTTACATTGTTTTATTTGGTGCTTATTAATAAGACAAATAGTATTAAATATGTCACCCAGACACTACAAATGAACCATATGATATAGTAATTGGCACCTTGAAAGATGACAAACAGATGGTACATTTAAGGTCTCAGTAATACTGACCGGTTTTTAAGTACTCAGGATGATAAAGTGTTATGACCAAGTGGTACAAGAGTGGGAGGTGGAATTTTTGAAACATACAAAGAATAAGAGCATAACATTCTTATAATTTAGTGGTGGCATGTTCACAGCACTGTGGGCATTTCCTCCTGTTTTTGCGGTGAAGTCCTTAGTGGGCCCCTGTGTAATCAGGGAGCCCCTGCTTGATGCTGTACCTACTTAGAGATAATGTGGCCTTCTCTCTGCTCGCATAGCCTGGAAAGTAGTAGGCCTGAGGTAGGAGAACACAACTCAGAGGAACATAAATCGATCTTTTTTTTTTTTCTTTCCAGATTTCTATGTCATTATATTCTCCTCTCTGTTTCATTATTCAGGAGAAGCTTTGTGGGAATAGTTGAACATAGTTTTATGAGGTGTTCAGCGATTTGACTCCTATGACTACTTGCAAACTGGCTGTTGTTCAGTAGGTGCTGGAGCCATGTGCTATCCTAGGGCGAGGGAGGAATCACCTTATTCGGAAGTCACTTGTTCTTGAGGCCTTCCCTGGGCTAAGTGGACCTGTGAGGTTAGAAGAAAATCAGTGTGAACAGGAAGCTTGGTAAGGCTACAGGAGATCTGAATTTGGTTTTCAGATTGGAGCTAGGAGGAAGTGGTTTAGTGCCTGGGAGGAAAGCCCCAAACAGAAGGGCAGCTACCCTGGAGACTCATGGACCGTGGAATGTGAGAAGGGTTGGCCCAGGGTGCTGACTGTCCTGGATCCTACCTTGGTTAGATCCTGGTTAGTGGCCTGAGTTGTTTGCTTCTAGTGATTGAGCACTAGAAGCTCATCCTTGGCTGTGGGGTGCACCTATCTACATAGTCATAGATTATTATCCACCTGGCTTTCTGTACATTCCAGGAGGTCACTGATAACACATAGCCTGTGCTGGCATGGAGGGAAACTCCTCGGGGCCACTCAGCAAAGTCTTTGCTGTGTATTCCACATCTTTAATGAAACCTTACTCTTCCTCCTCCCATCCCATAGCTGGAGGAACTAGGAACCCCACTAATACATGGTGGGCGAGGACATTCATGGGAAGTGAGGATGTGTGCCTGGTTCTAATGAAAAAGTCTCCTAAGTGGGATGGATGAAGAGCCCCATTGTCAAGAAAATATGCCTATTCCTGCATGGAAGGCCACTGCGAGGGGCCCAAGGGCAAGGAAGAGGATGAATAGAAAGAGGGTATTGGTGGACCCTCCTGCAGATCACAAAACTGGCCCAGAAGGAGACTTCTGATGTTTGGAGATACTTATCAAAGTCTCACTGATAAACCTATTGTGTCACTGGCAGTTTTCTTTCTCAGAAGACAGGATATGATGGGAGAAACTATTGGCTGTTCTGCCTCTGACTGGCAAGGAATAACTGGCCAGAGAAAGAGAAGAAATAGGTATCGGGGAAAGTGACCAGGTGTCTTAGACTCTGTCGCAGCTGAGGAAGGGTGGATGTTGAGCTCGGCCACGCTTGTGTCCAAAACTTGAGAAAAACAGATTCAGAGATTCCTCCAGAAAAATCCCTGGGCCCAGGTGCTAGGAAGGTGTTTCCACTGAGAGGGTGGAGTCCACCTGAAATCAATTCAAACTACATGTTGCAAATTCTGGTTTTTAAGAGCTCCACTTTCTCTCTTCCTCCTATGCTCTGTCTCCTAGGAAAATTTATTCTAATGAGGAAAAAAAGAGAGAAGTCACTCAAGAAACTATATAGGCTTTAAAAGAGCAGGGACCAGGGCAATTAGGCAAGAAAAGAAATAAAAGGCATCCAGATTGGAGAGAAAGAAGTAAGACTATTTGCAGATGACATGATCTTATGTATAGAAAATCCTAAGGAATCCACTAAAAAACTATTAGAACAAATAAACAAGCATGGCAAGGTTGCAGGATACAAGATCAATATATAAAAATCAATTATATTTCTATATACAAGCAATGACAATTGCAAAGTGAAATTAAGAAAACAATTCTATTTACACTAGCATCCAAATGAAAAAAAATACCTAGGAATAAACTTAAGGGAAGAAGTGCAAGACTTCAACACTGAAAACTATAAAACAGTGTTGAAAGAAATTAAGAATGACCTTAAAAAATGGGAGAACATCCTATGTTTATACATTAGAAGACTTATTGCTAAGATGGAAATACTCCCCAAATTGTTTTACAGATTCAGTGTAATCCCTATCAAAATTTTAGCTCACTTTTTTGCAGAAACTCACAGGCTGATCCTATAATTCATTCATATAGAAATTCAAAGAACACAGAATAGCCAAAATAGTTTTGAAAAAGAAGAACAAAGTTTGGAGGACTCACACTTCCTGATTCAAAATTTAGTGTGTAGCCAAAGTAAACAACATGGTACTGGCATAAGGATAGACATATAGATCAATAGTATAGAATTGAGAGTCCAAAAATAAACCCTCACATTTATGGTCAATTGATTTTTGACAACTGTGCCAAGACAATTCAGTGGGGGAAACAATAGTCTTTTCAACCACATTGGTGCTGGGACAACTGGATAGCCACATGCAAACAGAATAGAGAATGCTATGAATGGGCACAGGGTTTCTTTTTGAAGTGATGAAAATGTTCTGAAGTTGGATAGTGGTATTGGTTGTGCAACTGTGAATATACTAAAAACCACAGGTCATACCCTTTAAAAGCGTGGATTTTCTGGTATATGAATTACATCTCAATAAAAAAATCCAGTTTTCCAACACTAAACATCCTATGGTATATTTAGTTTCCATAATTCCGCAACTAGTACCCGTCAAGTACTTTTTCCATCTGTGTGCAACAATTTGAAATAAAAATGAATGCCGGAAAGAAAACAGTGAAAATAAGCTAAAAACACAAAGGCAGACATCTAAAAGGTCAAGCTGTGGGGAGAGGGAGTGCCAACAGCCACCACACGACCCCGTAAGGCTCTTGGCCCCAGTGCCCTGTCAGTGTGTAAGCATGTTCACTGTCCACAACACTCAAGCTGGTAAAATCAAGGTATGCTAAATTTTTTAAATAAAATGCTTGGTAATGTGATTGGATTTTAAAACTTTAATTATTTTCATTTATCTACAGTGTTTAATCAGGGGAAAGGGGGCACGGGGCAAGGGTGGAAACAAGGTGTGTGGGCCGTATGAAGGGTCAGGAAGCTGGAGTGGGCTGAGAAGGCAAAAATGCTTTGGTCAATAAAAAAGCCTTTTTAGGTATGGTTAGAACAAGAGAAAGAATCAGGAAGTGATAGGCCCCCTGCTCCGCGCTCTTTCTGCAATATTAACAGAAAGCAGAACTGCTCTGCTGTTATTTTGCTTCCTCCTTTTTCCTCAAAGGAAACGATCCAGAGATGGTAGAAGGGAGCCCAGCTGTGTTGGAGAGGGTTAAAACCCGAAGGATGAGGAGCTGTCCCTGGGCCTGCCACAGTGAGGCTCAGGGAGTCTCCTGGCAGACAGGTGCATGGAGGACTATAGAAAGCACTTACAGTTGTGCTTGAAGAACTGTGTTTGG